TGTTCTTTATATGAATATCCTACCATTGTTAAAAGTAACAATTCTCAGTTAACTCACTACTACTCACGTTAACCGTGAAGACGGACTCGCCACAAATGTACACAAATGACAAATATAACGTAGTCTACATGGCAACACATCTTCATCTACCGCAAACCTTCTTTAAACTTAAAGATAAAGGATTTGAAAACATATTTTTATATGTATTGTTGCCCCTGTTTTCTTTTGAGGAATCCGCCCTCAATGTATTTAAATATTATTTTGGTCATCATGGCTTCGTAAAACGAAGTTCAAGAGGGAGTCTATTCACGTCAGTTAAAGGCACGTTCGTGACCGATATGTCCAATGCGAGAAAGGCATAAGCTGTCGCAACAGTTGTAGATGAAAGTCCGGCCTGGGCTTGATGGCTTTGCAGTACGTCCTCTGTCTCTTGCAATATATATATATATATATATATATATATATATATATATATATATATATATATATATATATATATATATCTCACACACACACACACACACACACACACATATATATATATATATATATATATATATATATATATATATACACAAAAATTTGTTATTTTACTTATCATTTAAATTGGAAGAAAATGTTATATAAATTTATAAGAGTTAAAATTAATATTTTTGCCACACAAACATTTAACTTTCAATAGGTAAACGATCTCTGTTTTTGAAATATCGAGGAAAATATTAGGGAAATCTATGACAAAGTGGAAAAAGTTTTGTTTTTACCTGATGCATTTCATTCTTTCGGACATCAACATGATGTTTACGTTGATGGAATAACTCAATAGCACAAAAGATAAATCATGCTAAGGATTATAAATTATTTTTTAAATATGTTTTGAGAATAGAGTCTAGCCGATGTCATTCATTTTGTTTTTCTTTCATATGTTTTTATACCTTCAGTCATTAAATATCCCACATTATGATATTAAACAATTTGAGAAGTAAGGTGAATTTTACTGTCGATAATCTAGCGATTAAAAAAAAACTCTATACATTTGTCTACATGAATTGCTTTTAATCAAACATATAGTGAGACTAATTACAGGGAACAACTAATGCACTGACTGTGTTGCTTGTAAAATGTCCCTCTTGTTTTCATATAATATTTCATTTAAATTCTTTGAAGTTTATCCTATTTATTCCTCGAGGATAATGTGACACTATTTAGCGTTTGCGTGAAAATTAAAAGCGAGAAATACTTAAAGCGAGAAGAAGCTATCACGAAAGACATACTGAGTGATGTTATTTTTTTTAACAAAGAAAAATGGTAAAGATTTTATTTTCATTTGCGAAAAAAAGTCGCAGAAGATAGAAAATTCGTAAGATCTCGGATCTGTCGGAATTAATTTATGCTATGACGCGGCGAATAAAAGATATCAATCTGCCCATGGCAATAATGAAAATTTCAAATTGGTCAAGTGGCTCGCAGGGCGAAATGCTGGAAGATAATCATAATCAGGTCGAGTACCGACCGAGAAAAAGATCAGCTGAGGCCACCCCAAAGAAAAAGGAAGGGAAAAGAGAAAAAGGGAAAGAATAAACCATTAACTATCTTTCGGAGATATCATTTGGTTTTGGGAAGATACGCTTGTTTTATGTCCGGACCTGGACATGATAAAAGTTTGTTACCGGTACAGATTGTTGGCGACAGGGTGCGAAGACGTTCAGTTTACCACCCATTTAACGTTTGGCGAAAATTTCGTTGATAAATTCCAGATGACATTCAGTTAAGATAGAGATTAAGGACCACACTACGAGTCGTAGGGGTCTGGTGGAGGAAAAGAAAGACAAGAAAACGGAAGATATATTTTTTTCTTTGAGCGATAATTGTAAGCTGAGGCCAGACTGGTCGCGTCTACGCTGCCGTGCGTTTATTGGCTGAGTGGTGGCGTGAGCGGTGGGCGAAGGTAAACATATGAGAAGGAGGTGAGGCCTGTTTACGCCTCTGAGGGGATTGGTGTGAGATACCACTATGAGAAAGAAGGGAAACCTGTTGACGCCCTCTGAGAGGAAGGGAAGAATTTGGGAGGACGAATCCCTTAAGAACCCCTCTAAAGCAGAAAGTAATGAACTTCCAAAAATGGAAAGTGATAAATTTTCCTGTCCGAAAACAAAGAAAATCCTTATTGTGGTTTTGGAATTATCGAGGAACCCAAATAACGACAGGCCCACACCCGGTTTTGGTCGGCGTTCATATAAACGGAGTAGACGGTGGCAGTTAGAGAGACGCAGAGGAGACGCAGACAGTGACAGAGCAGAGTTGAGCTGTGAGCTCGCAGACCAGCCTCGCAGGAAGCTGACTGAAAGATATCCACGCATTCCGACTTAGACTTCTAACCAAGAAAATTTATTTTTGAAGAGCGACTTAGACTCACACCACAAATACAAGTTTTATGAATATCGCCTGAAGATACAAAAAAACAGTTATTGAAAAACAACTTAAGATATTAAGACTCGCCTAACAAACGCAAAGTGTCACGTATGCATAGAAGCGGTTTTGGAGAAAGACGCAGTCCTGTATTCAGAAACCAGATATAAGAATATTTGTTATTCTTTTTTTTTTTTTTTACACATTTAAACCTTTCGAGTTGTTACTTTATTTTCTTTAACATATACTTGTGCGATGTCACCTTTGCTCGAATTCGGCTTGCACTACGGCCCGGCGACTGATTGATTTCGTTTACCTAAGATTAAATCACAACGTGGGTAGGTTCGACTAGAAATCAAAGCAGTTACTTCGGTAACCATACGTTGGAGGTGAGCTGGGAACGACAAAGCTGATACTGAATCTAGCCAGATTCCCGTCCGAATCAGCCAAGGGTTAGAATGCCACATTTGGCGCCGCGACCAATACCAAGTCACATTGGTCGTCACAGATAGCACGGGGGCACAGAGGCGCGTGGTGACGTCACAATATTATTAAAGGTAATAATATAAATTCACCCTTTAATTTTCAGATTATTATTCATTTGATTTGTATGAATTAAATATTTTATTTCTATAGAAGTAGTTATCATAAACTTCATATTAAGATGACACACATCCTTTACAAATACAGTCGTGATAGAATTGCTATACTATTTTAATTCATTGTTTCAGTTAGAATTGTACCCTCTTCTATTTTTGAATTTTTTATGAGCTTCAGCTTTCGGGTTGGATATGAAATGATTTAGGAAATGTAGGATCTTACAGTTAATTTCTATGCATTTCTCCCCTCTATATAAATATTGAGGCCTATAAATCCTGTGTGCTTTGAAATAGATCCCGATAACTTTTCCGGATTTTTTTTTTTTATATGATCCGTTTACATATTTATGAGATATTTTTTTTTTATTTGCGGCAGACGCTTAGTTTTAGTTTATTCTCAATAAGATGTAACATTATATATGGAAAAATTTGTGTTTGTTACTGTTTCTTGGGTGAAATATATCGAGTCTTTGGCTTTGCTTTCTTTAACTACAGGGTCAAGAAAAGAAAATTTATGGGGATATATTAACATATCATCACGAATATATCGGAAATATGTTGCTGTTTTAGGTAAAATATTTTGGAAAAGAACAGATCGAGACATTTTAAGTAAACGTATACTTAGAGACGATTCATTTGGTAACAATTTTTGTTTCTAAAACAACTCCAGACAGACACATAAACATTATTTTTGACCTTGCGTGTCTCTTGGACAACAGAACTAACACAGTTTTGAATTTTGACCACATATAATTTCATATAAGGACAATTTCCAATCGAAATTTCATTTATCGATACGTATTATTATGCATATTATAATATATATTCATCAATAAAGAATAAGTTAATAGCAAAAAGATGTCAAATGGATATTGAATTTATACGAAAACGTGTAAATATTCGCAAGTCCTGCTAATATAAAGAAAATATATTATGTGCTTAAATCCTCACAAATATTTAACAGTATTTTTTTTTTATTAGTGAACAACATTTTTTTATCGGGATTCTTCACAAAGAAAGAATACAAATAAATAATGAATGTAAGCATTATTATTACTGTTTTTAAATCTCTTAATAATCATTTAGACATTTTAAAATCGCTTCAAGTTTATTTTTACGATTGTAGCCTCAATCAAAATATGTTTTTAAGGATTGAAATCAATCTTTACAATTACATTTTAGATTTGTTGCCAACAAATATAATGTCCACAATCCACTTCTGATAAACCTCGGATATGGCTATTATTTCTTTTTAAAATCTCTTCACGTTTATTTGTAGCCTTCATCACAAATACGTTTTTACCGCTTGGAGTTGCTATCGCGAAAACCAATTTTTTTCTTTTTAATTTACATTCTAGATTGGTTGCCAACAAATATAATGTCCACAATCAACTTCTGTTACACCTCAGATATGGCTCGTCTTTCACGGTGGGGCTTAGAACTATTTGAATGACCCACGTAAATATTGATGTAAGTAATTAATTCGGAAGTGCATCCGTGCAAATGTAAACGCAGGGGCTCTGAATGTTTTTCAATACATTACGTTAAAATAAATTCAGATTCCATGAGTGATAGGGTTTTGAAGTTATCCATCAAAATGGCGCTTATTAGGCAAAGTAATTTGTTATGTCGATAAATCTTATAATATTATTACGGTTACCAATTATCTTTCATTTCTTTTTATTACTAAATAATATGCAAACAATTATATATTGATTAATTGATTCTTTTGATTTTTAACCCTTTTCAAACATTTGCAGGTTATTTGAAGCCATAACATATTGATAGACTATTAGAATATTTTTGGAGATAATAATGATTTATTGATACATGTCTTAATAATTAACCTATCGCTGGTACGAGAAGAGGTGGGTTCATATTTTAAACAGGAGTATTTGTGCGTAATTAAATATAACGAACACGGCTGTAATTGGAAATCGGCTATCTGATCTCCAATTACATTTTGTTATTCATTACACCAGCCGCACATCCAAGCTTACAGCATCTGGTATTCCTAAGCGGTCAATCATGTAAGTAATGACTAGGTTCGACGTGGCTTAACTTCGGTGATCATACGAGAACCGGTGTTTCAACTTGTTATGGTCGTAACCTGGTGGAAAATATGATTTTCTTGCATGAATATACTCTTTAAATGAAAGACTTTTGTTGTGAAAGGCGCTACACAAAAAAGCCTTCTTCAGGAATATACAGTAATTATCTGCATTTATGTTAACACCATCTTAAAAAATGAAAATAACGAGAGGCGACAGTCTACTAAAACTAGCTCTAACCATTACTCCACTAGACATCTACAGAATGTTTGTTGAATACTTTCCTGAATGACACAATCTCTAGTTGAGATATCATATCTATATCCATCGCTAAAAAAATACTATTGATAAAATCACTTTTCATATATTTCTTTGTCAATATTATAACTTTCGTTTGTGATGTTTACGCAAAAGTTGCATTTTGGTTGCTTTCATACATTTCGATAATGTTATTAACACTGTCTTTCTTTTTCTCCTTGCTTCCATTCGCAAAATAATGGTTTTTGAAACTGTTTTATTTTTTTATTTTTTTGATGGTCAGTACAATTATCTTCCTTATTGTTCTTTTGATTTTACAAAAAAAAAAAAAAAAAAAAATCAATATCCAGCATTCTTAAAAGTTATTTTCTTCATTTTCTTTTCTCTCCTACTTATTCTTGCAAATATTTAATTTTGTTATATTCTATCTTGGTTCAAATCATGCGTTATTTAGCAAGTTTTGTTCGTTGAATTAAATAAGTTTTAAATAGTTCGTTTATATTCTAAGCTTATATACTTTATTCCAAACACTGCAATGCTGTTATATTGAATATATATATATAAAAAAAAATAAATGCCAATAATCGCACATATACAAACATTTATAACGTGATAAATTTGGTGGCGGGGAGGCAAAAGCAAGCTCAGTCCATCCGCCAAGATGACTTGTGCTTTCGTACTTAAGCAAATATCGACGACGTTCGACTGATAACTTCGGTCATTACATGTTTTGTTTTGCAGATACTTTCAAAAATTTGCTTCCCCAGACCAATAGCATCAATAAGCCAGGCTGTCTCATGGAGAAAAATCGAACATTCTAAAAACTCCGTCACGCACGCCTATATATGTTTGTATTGTTTAGAATATTTTTTTTTTTTTTTTTTGGTGAAAGAGATCTGAATAAAAGAGACAGAGTTGCTAGACATCTGTCTATATTTCTGAGATGAGGCATTGTAATTATTTACATTATTTACAATGTTCGGACTGTTGTCCGTGTCTTTATTGCAATATTCCCGACGTTTCGGCTATTTTATTCAGCGCGATACGTCAAGGACGAGCGTTGGTTGAAACAGTCCCGTGACTTGACCCAAAGAGTTGAGAGTCCATTAGTTGGGCATGCTTAGAGTAAGGGAACCAACTGAAAATTTGTTATCCGAAAGAGTCATGACACGTAGAACTAGAAAAATCTACCCTGATTGAAGAAATAATGGATACGGTTAAATTCCACTCACCTGAAGAAGGCCGGAGCTTAGAAAACTCGAAACATCGTGAATGTGGCAACAAAGATGAGAAAAGCAATCCGAACATTTTAAATAATGGGGACAGTTTCTAGAAAAAATGAGTGTTGACATATGAAGCAACAATGCATTGATAGAATCAGTCTCATGGGTTCAGTGATCTTAATTCCATGCGTCACTACTGCTTTTGCGAGTACAATATATGACTGCTGGCTATAGATTTTATATATGAGAAGGTTAAAATCGCCATATACCAGTTCTGCATTCGTGCTTTTATCTACAATAATTTATTTGTAGAATTAATAGTTTTCTTTGTAATCCGACACACATCTAAATCTTCAAACCTTATTTTTATTGGATACCCTTAATTTTGTAGACGTTCCGTTTATTTTGAACAGTATTTATTCCGTTTTATGGTATATCTAGGACACATATACATTGCTTTCTTTACTGAGTATGGTGGCATTTAAACGAAATAAACTGTGTTTAAAATAAAGTGAACGTCTACTTAAATCAGCATATCCATAGCTTCTGATGTAAGAGTAATATGTCGTACTAAAAATATAATCCATACTTTCTTTAGATAATGCACTGTTTATGTTTTGGATTGGAGAACGACTACATATGTATTTGGTGAAAATCTGAACAAGTGAATGTGCTTTAAAAACAAAATAGAAAGTTGCTTGATTGCAAAGCCCTCCGTAGCCGAGCGATCTAAAAACCTTGGAGCACACGTATATTAATCCAGCAAAGAAGGAGGTAGCTTCCTATACTGTTGAAGGGCATATTTTCTTTATATAAAATTTTCTCGAGTACGCAAATTGCCAGACGAAATATAGATTGTTTAAAACAACCGCATCGCCTACTGAAATACAGGTATCCTTTCCCAATAATACTTGAAATAATATGAATATATTTATAGTCATAGCATTTATTTTGCCTATTTTATTTGCACTTATGTAATTTAAAATACAAATATCTCATATATTTATATATTTTGTTTATTAATTTGATTTGTACATTATCTTTCCTTCTAAATTTGAGTAATTCAAAAACGTTTGTGATATTGATGGCATTTTATTATAGTGAATGTTTTGAGTCATTATCTAATTATGAGGTAGATGAGAAGGATGTTTTCTGCCTCTATTTAAGAAACGCCCTTTCATTTATTTTATCCCTTTCTAGAAACGTAGCAATGCATAACTATTCATCGTGACATACAGTAGCGTCTAAAACTAAGGGACAAAATTTTAAAACCTAATATTTGTTAGAAATAACAACTGTGAAAAGCTGAAATTTTGACAACTGGTAGTCGTTATCATCCATAATAACATACTAAAATTTGAATCATTTGCAAAAGATAGAAAAAGAATTATAACAATTATTTCTTTATTTTCAAATTTGGAACGTCCAAATGTAAGGGACAAAATTGAGAAAAACAATGTAAACGACAAAAACAAAAACACAATAAAAATCCATGTACAATCAATATTTAGTAAATGAGCCCTTGCTTTCAATGACAGCTGCACATCTTCGACTACATCAACGAATCAGTTCTTGACAATCCTCGATACTAATTTTAGACCATTCTTCTTGAAGCTTCACCCACAAATCCTCCGTGTTAGTGGGATTTCTTTCCATAACTTTCACTCCTACGGTCTTCCAAAGATTTTCTATTGGATTTAAGTCAGGACTTTGCGGTGGCCAATCCATAATTTCCAAATCTTGCTCGCTAAGGTAACTCATTATCACCTTTACCTTGTGACATGGGGCATTATCTTGCATAAAGGTAGCCCTATCGAAACCTGAACTCTGTATGTTTGGCACATGATCTTGAACAATGTTTTTATAGATCTGCGCGTTTACACGAGTTTGTAACCGGACAAGAGGCGTTGTACCTTGGCTAGAAAACATTCCAAATACCATGACGCTTCCGCACTCAAACTTGACAGTTTTCTTAGTACACTTTGCACTTAATCTTTCACCAATACGTCTCTTTACATTGTTTTTCCATCATTTCCAAATAAATTAAACTTGCTTTCATCACTGAAAAATACTTTTGCCCAATTTTCTTATGTCCAAATTACATACCTGTTTGCAAAATCTAATCTCTTCTTATTCTTCGAACTAACAAGTGGTTTCTTCCATGGGGTTCGATTAAACAGCCCTATTTCTTGCAGTCGTCTACAAACAGTCTTTCTTGACACATTAACACATGAGGTACTATTCATAAACCTTTTAATTTCTGTGCACGACTTAAAACGCTCCTTTAATGACATACGCTACATTATTCGATCTTCTCTTGCCGAAGTTTTGCGGGATCTGACGGTTTTAAAAGCACTAACTAATTTGCAAGTATCATTGTAGGATTTAACAACCCTGCCTACAACACTCTTGGAACGTTTCACTTTCTCTGAAATCTCTCTAATGTTGTGTTTTTCCTTGTGTAGCTTCACAATAGCTTGTCTCACAGAGTAATCAAGTTTTTGGCGTTTCGCCATGGTGCCGGCTGATGCAACGTTTACAAACGTATAAGTAAGACTTATTCTTTAGAGGAAATAAAAAAATTGAATATAGGATACTGTTTACATTGTTTTTTCTCAATTTTGTCCCTTACTTTTGGACGATCCTATTTTGAAAATAAATAAATAATTGTTATAATTCTTTTTCTATCCTTTGCAAATGATTCAAATTTTAGTATGTTATTATGGATGATAACGACTACCAGTTGTCAAAATTTCAGCTTTTCACAGTTGTTATTTCTAACAAATATTAGGTTTTAAAATGTTGTCCCTTAGTTTTGGACGCTACTGTATATTATCTTAGTTTGATATATGAGCAGATACTGTTATTTCACAATATCTATATTATTTAGAATACTGCGATTTTTGTATAGGTGTTCCTATATATGTTTTGATATACTTATTATATTAAACATAATTCAGTTGTTAAATTCTTATTCCATGGATTGCTTCTCTGTTGCCAGGGACCTCATGTCATTGGTTTATTATTTTATATTTTTCTTTTGTCTCTTAAAGTAAGTTGGTGTATTGTATTATTTTTAAGTATTTAGCACTTAATCGGTATTAATACGTTTTTCATTTAAATGAAGCGGTGTTAATATGTATGATGTGTTGGTCATTATTCTCATGCTTTTTTCATGGTTTGTAACATGTTTCTGATATTTCTGAAATTAAGTTGTTTTTTTTTAAATTGTTTCCATAGTTTGTGTAGTGCTATTTAATTGGAGCAGATATACAAAAATCTTATGTTTCCCAGGTTTTTGCGCAGACTTGAAGGATGAAATTAAAAGAAACATTTATAAGTTCACTGCATTTATTTAAGTATTTTCCTATATCGTTAGTTATTATCACTCACTATTGTTATATATTATCCCCCTCCATTGATATATTTTTAAGTAATGACATCATTGCCTTTTTAACTTGCAATGTACGTAACTTCCTGTCATTTGTAGTTTCTGCACCTCTAAGCTGCTATCGCTCCTTGCGTATTGGAATTTCGAAGCGCTTTTTCTTCATCATGCATCTTATGAATTTCAACA